ATTTCTTTTTGAGTTTCATTCGGAGGTGTATACGTTTCACAATTTTCGGTAAGCATTCGTATTGATCCATCATTTATTCTCGGCAAAAAACCATACAAAGCTTCAAACGGAGCTTTACCCGTAGCGGTGCTCACAACAGTATTCAAGTCACATTCAATTAATTTAAGATTTTTATCCCATTGTTTATCATTACCATGCATTATCGAAATTTTCATTGCCGGAGGTAATGTTTGATTTAAACGCTCCACTAAACCATTTCCTTGAGGATGTCGACTTGAGTTTAGAGTATGACGAATACCGTGATCTAGACAAAATTGTTGAAAACAATGACCAGTGAAAGCTGTACCTCTATCTGAAATAATTCTCTTTGGCGCACCAAATCGATGTACAAATTCTTCAAATACTTTTACGGTACTTTGCGATGTACAATTTTTTTCAGCCTCGATAAAAACATATTTTGTCAAGTTGTCGATTATTCCCAAAACGTATATATTACCTCGCGACGATGTTGGAAATGGACCAAGGTGGTCTGTATGAATTGTTTCAAACGGTCTGTTACCTATTGGTATGGGGTGCGATTCCCCCTCTCCTGGACCTGCCTTTCTTTTCGACATAATACACTCGAGACAATTTTTTATATGTATTTTTACATAGTTGCGCAATCGTGGGAAGTAATAGTACTTTTCTATTAAACTCGCTGTTTTTTCTACACCAAAATGTCCCTTAAAATTATGATACTTAATAACTAAACTTTTGCGCATACATTTCGGTACTACAAATAGATTCACGACTGTGTCGCCTCGTTTCACGTGTTTATACAAAATTCCGTCTAGAAGAGTGAAATCTTTTGATAGATTTTGTTCTGACTTGCTTTTTGTACTTTGTTTTAAAATTTGAACTATTTTATCAATATCTTCGTCGGATTTTTGAAATAATAAAATTTCGGTTTCTTTTGAATCAATACAAACGGACGTAACATTCTCGCTATAATTCGATTTTACCGGTGCTCGAGAAAGAGCATCAACATGCTGCATAGATTCACCTTTTTTATGTATTATCTCTAGATCGAATTCGGCGATCTCACTCATCCACCGAGCAACTTGTTACTGGTTTTCCATGCATTCAAGTGTACAAGACATTGGCAATCTGTGATTACATGGAATTTTATGCCTATTAAGAAAGGTCTTAGTCTCTGAAGCGCCCACGCTATTGCTAAAAGCTCCAAACGGCTAGAATGATATTTAGACTCTACTTCGTTTGTACATCTGCTTATGGCGTATACTAAGCGCAATGGTTCGTCGATTGTATCTTTTTTGCAATAGCATCGCGCCCAGACCAAGAGACGACGCATCTGTATGTAATTCGGTTCTGAATGCTTTCGGGTTATATAATCGTAAAACAGGTTTACAGGTAAGTTTTGATTTTATTTCCGCAAATGCCTTTACTTGCTCGTCACTCCAATTGAAACCACAATCTTTCTTAAGTAATTTAGAAATTGGGCGAATTATTATCGCGAAATTCGGTACAAAGCGTCGGAAAAAGCCTGCCAATCCCATGAACTGCTTAATTTCGCGCTTAGTTTTCGGACTCGGAAATTTTTCGATAGCTGCAATTCTTCGTTCACCTGGCATGATCGCCCCTTCGCCGAGAACGTACCCCAAATATTCGATCACTTTAAGCCCAAATTTACATTTACTCAAACGCAAAGTCAGTCCCGCTGTTTCTAAATTACTTAAAATCTCGTCCAAATTCGTCATCAAATTTTTCCAGTTATCCGCGTAAATACATATATCGTCGAAAAAATTAAATGCAATTCCTTTCTTACGGGACGTACCGATAACTTTGTCCATTAATTTTGCGAAATAACGAGGTGCGTTTGATAAACCGAACATAGCACGTTCGAACTGTCCCGTTTGCGTTTCGGTAATAAATGCTGTCTTTACTTTCGCGCTTTCAGTAAGAGGCACTTGTAAATATCCCCACGCCAAATCAAGCGTTATAAAAATATTAGCACCGTTTAGTTTCTCTAGCATATCGTCAAAATTTGGGATTGGATACGGTACAATTTTCGTCGCCCTTATAAAAATTTCCTATAGGATCCCGCGAAATTCTTACTGGAATCCTATAGGACTCCTGTAGGAATTTCGCGAGATCCTATAGGAAATTTTTATAAGGGCGCTTTATTTAGTCGTCTGTAATCGACAATCATTCTTGGCGTACCGTCTTGTTTTTTTACAATAAACGCAGGACTCGAAAACGTTGACGACGTTTCTGTTATGATACCAGCTTCTTTGTATTCGTCGATAATATGTTCTAAGTCAGCGCGATCTTTAGAATTCAGTCGATACGGTTTACATTGAACATTATAATTCGGCTCAACCTCGATATCCATTTCGATTAAATCTGTTTTGCCGATCTCACTAATATTCTTAGCGACACACGCCTTATGTTTATTTAAAAGATTAACAAGTTCTTGTTTTTGTTCTTCCCTAATATCTTTGTCTGTAATAATTTCGCTACTCGCTCGCACACCACACGCATTCCCCGCGATGCCACAACGAGCGCTGCGATCGCCCAGACGCCCGCGACTCTCAACGCGTACATGCCATGACCGACTGTGCATTTTGTGGTTGATTTATAACATAACATTAAGGTGATGCCTTGGCCACAATTTTTACCGACCAAGCACAGAAAATGTATATTTTCGTTACTTTTTTCCAGGCTGATTTTCGAAAAACGGCTCTGTGGAGCCTTCCGTATTGTTGATGCGAACAACTACGACAAATTTCAGCCAATTTCATCGGATAGTTTTCCCGGAAAACAGGATTAAAATTTTTTATCCTTCAAACAGTAATCAAAAATTTCGATCCTGTTTTCCGGAAAAATTACCCAATGAAATTGGCTAAAATTTGGTGCAGTTATTCACAGCTACAATACGGAGGACTGATCAACAGAGCCGTTTTTCGAAAATCGGTCTAGTAAAAAAGTTTTTTCAATTTACATTTTTAATACTCGGTCGGTCAAAATTGGGGCTTCAGCATCATCTTAATTTGAAAATTTTAAATCAAATCAAATTCATTGTTGAGGCCACGTTATTTTAAATTGAATTAAAAAGAATATCTAAGAAATTTGAGTAAATCTAAAATATGTAGTTAGCTGCCCTTATAAAAATTTCCAATAGGATCCCGCGAAATTCCTATTGGAATCCTATAGGACTCCTGTAGGAATTTCGCGAGATCCTATAGGAAATTTTTATAAGGGTGTCTATTGACAGCCATCAGAACTTCTCTAAATTCAATGGAATGAAAACATCAAAATATAAAGCAAGAAAAATTTTTTAAAATTATAAAAGAATAGCAAGAAAAATGAAGTCTCGAAAAAAAATTTAAAAAAATCTAGTTTCAAGCCAGTCAAAAATTAAAAATAGTTTAGAACAATTCCAGAAAGAAATTTTAACCAAGGAAAAGATTTCTGAAGTTTCGCTTCAGGTATTTTACCCATTTAATTTTCATGCTCCAACATTTTAAAAATTGTCTTTGTTCAAATCCATATAATATTTGCTATTTTTCATATGGATGTTGTAATAAAAATCTATGGTGTGTTATTCCAGAGTATGCAAATATAACAAAGAATCCTATTTCTCTCTCTCTATTTTTTTTACCTACAAAAAAGAGATGGACATCAAAGTGAAGCATCGTAAAACGGTCTCTGATTAACTGAAACATATGGCGACGCTCGATGAGAGCCGACTCGATACGATCAGCGCCTGCGCTATACTAACTATCAACACACAGTTAATACCCAAGGAAACTCGAAATACGAATGAAAAAATTGACGCGGGCGAAGCACGTTAGAAACTTACTATTTCTGAATCTTAAACTAACCGATACACAAATGAAAAAATTAACACGCGCGAAGCGTGTTTGAAATACACACTGGGTTAACATAGATTCTGTCTGGTCTAATAGAGTGGTGAAACGTGTTTAAGCATAGGAAATTCCGGTGTTCCATCGGACAGAATCGTTGTTAACCCAGTGTACTAGTAATCATATCTTCTCTTCACCTATCATTTGAGTCTTCAAATCATAAAAGAAAGATAGCAGATCGAATTTTTCGAGATATTTATCTCGGCATGTTTGATGGCAATTTTCTCGGTGAATGAGCGATGTGTCGGAAAATCTAATACCACCATCAAAAAGCTGAGGAAATTTCCTATCGAACACAGTAGTCAGCTATTTTTTTGAAATGAGTTTTGATACTTTTTTAGCGACTCAAAAATTGAGTAATTAGCCGTATTTACGAGAAAAAAATGGTTTTTCGTCCACTAAATCACAAAAGTAGCTATAAAATTAAGCACTATTGCAATGTCAATAGTTCCTATGTTTTTACATGTTCCTAGGACCCCTAAAAAGATTTCCCGGTGGTCCGTATCTGCGTAGGTTGAAAAAAAAATTTGCCATGATTCTACCTCCAAAAATGCGTTTTATTTAAAGAATTGCTCTTATATGGAATGTCAGCCATTTTAAGATATTAAGAGATTATAAGGAATACTTTGCAGTTGCTCTTTGATTTTAATGGTTTGTCTTATGCATAATTATGTAAAATATTGTTTCTCTAAGAGGAAGTACTTAAGAATGACAATTAATAGTTAGGTATAGCGTTCATTACCGCAATAATCATTTCGAATATGTATTACATTAGAACATGTTATAATTGATATGTATATAAACTAATCTCTTATAAAAATTTCCTATAGGATCCTGCGAAATTCCTACTGGAATCCTATAGGAATCCTGTATAAAAATTGTAATAAGGGATATATTAGATAATAAAAAATTATAAAATAATTTTAATTGGAAATATATAAAAATTATATAAGCCCTTGCGATTTAGGTCGAATCTTGAAGATTTTAATATAGTCGGCTGGTTACAATCCCATATTCTTATCGCTATTTCGGTTTAGTGAAAAGCCATGCTATGAAAGGCCGGGCACTGTGAAACTCTACTCGAAAAATCAATGAAAGCTCAATCTTTCAATATTATTGTATTGTATACCTTTTTAATTCAAAATACTCAACTAGTTTGTTCAACGATCGTGTTTTATTTTCAATGTGCTCAAGTTGATAACATTGACTCATTCAAGCCAGGTGCACAACATTGAGATCAAAAAATTTTCAGAAATGGCAAGTAATTATTGATTATTAAAATTGTTGTATACAAGGTAATATTATTAGAAAGTTAGCAAAATTAACAGATACCAAAATTTTTTTAATTAATCAAGGAAAATATTAATTATTGTGAAATAGTAAGTAAGTAGGAATGCCTTTAGTTATTTTTTTACAATTCCAGGACACACTTATCTTTCATTGGCATGTGTGAAAGAAACATTTCTGTTCAGTTATAAATAAAAATGAAAACATCAATAACCATATTATTATCACAAATTACTTATTTCTGAAACCCAAAAAATTATATTTATTTTGAATATTTAATGTATTCCTTTATCAATAGATTTTAATAGATTACATTTTTCTTATTGAATTAAAATTGCATTGTTAATGTAACTATGAAAAGTTATACTAGAAATAAGTTAGAATAAAAATTTTTCTGTTATGATTAATTAAATTTTTGTTTTAAAAATGAATTTTAATCATTATTCAAAAGCAGTTTAATAATAAAATTGATTTCATCATTTGTGTATTTAAAAATAATAAATTAATAGCAATTTAATTGACACGCTTAAAATAGCATATCTATTATACACCTAAATAATTTCAGTTAAATATATGTTGAATTATTTGAACTTGAAAATGTCAATATGATAAAAATTGTAATTTGACTTTAAATATACAAGTAATGAAAAATAATGTAGTAGAAGTTCACTTGTAAACAACCACTATTTAAAAAAATCTACAATGATTTTTGAATTTTTTGTACATGAAATTATTTCATACCCGAATATGTTGTTGGGTTTTTTTAAACTTTTAATATGACCACTATACATTTTTTTTTATTTATTTAAAGGTTGAATTAAATTTCTCAAATAGTTTTTTTGTAAAACTGATTTTATTTTCATTTTTCTGTATTATGATATTCTGCATTATTCTGTATTATGATCAAACATTTGAACACTCTTAGAAGTAATGAGAAATTCCAAATTAGTGGAGTTTATTTCATACAGTTATTAGTAATAATAGCTTTTAATTATTACATTATTTTAAAAAAAATTATGAAATAATATTCAAAGCAAGTTATGTACTCTAAATAAGGTATTTGTATTGCAATGATAAAATAAATTAATTACGTATGCATATATGTACAAGTACATGTTATGGATAAAATGAAATCAAGTAAGAATATCTGTCTAGGTAAAAGTAAACCATTACCTCAATAGAACTTGGCAATAGAAGCCTTTGCCCAGAACAGCTTTTGCTTGTATCATATACTATTAGCGCTGTGTGAAGCACTTTATAACTACTTTGAAAAAGAAAGAAATCATTATATCTTGTGCAAAAAATTAATTTAATTCCTAAATTGTAAAAATGCTAGTATTTATACTTGATTATTTAATAACTTTATTGAAAAATTCAGATGTTATGTCAAAATACCAGGTAAGAAATTATCTGGTTCAATACTTTATTGTTACCAAAATATATACTTTTTTAAATCTTTTCTTTTACTTACAAAGAGAGCCTTTCATCTTTGGGTCACAGATCCTTACCAAGCTTGTTTAGGGGTCTTCTTGTACATAATAATAAAGCCCCCTATGGTTACTTTATTCCAATGGGCCCCGGAAAGAGTTATAGAGCAGAAATAAGTATTAAATATAATATAATGTTAAAAAATACCACTTATTGGTATCAGGCCTTGTACGGGTCAAGTCTAGCTCTTTCAAAAATATTTGTACATGAAATTTTATGCATTCTAAACACTTTTGCAAACAATAAACAATTGAACTCAATTCGTTTGCTGTGTAAGTTTTGAAGAGCATAATAATTTGAGCTAAAGTTAACGTACCGAACAATAAATATTGATGTAAATTATATGAAAATGTTTTTATTTGTATAACTCATAAATCCCTTCTCTTCACCTATTCCTGACACTCATCTGGATTCAGATTCATTCCAGGTGAGTGTCAGAAATAGATGAGAAAGAAAAAACAGTAAGTTTTATGAATGAAAACATTTTTACATGATTTAATATAAATATTAGTTGATAAATGCATAAATTTTAACTCAAATTGATGCGCTCTTCAAAACTTACACAGCAAACCAATTGAGTTAAATTGTTTATTGATTGAAAAGGTGTTTTAGACTTTAAAAACTCAAAGTATAAATACTTCTCAGTCAGTTAGACCTGACTGTGTAAACCTGCTACCCTTATACTCTAATATATGGTATTTTATACATTATATTATATTATATTATACTTCATGGTGCTTTATAATGGTTTACAGGGCTCATTGGAATAAAGTAACTATAGGTGGCTTTATTATTATATACAAGAAGACCCCGGAACAAGTTTGGTAAGGATCTGTGACCCAAAGATGAAAGACTCTCTTTGTTAGTATTTTTTGAGCTGACTATATAAATTAATATTAATTTAAAAACCTATTTTCTATATTTTTTGATTAATTTTCCAAGTTATCTCATAGATAAGAAAGATATTTGAACCAAACTTCCCCAGACTCTACTGGTTGAGCAATTCATTGACACATCAATTGTCTGAATGAAAGTATTACCTAGATGTATGTACGTAAAAATGATAGTTTAAATTGAAAAAAATATTTTTTCATTTAATTAACATGCAATACAATTATTGAGTTGAATAAAAATGATTAAAAAAAAAAAATGTTGTGCATTGTGCTGTAAATTATGTATGATAATTTTTTTTGCTTTCCTTTTTTAAAGCTTTTTATTATTTGTAAAAAATTTTATGATAAGTAAAATAGTATGAGGTTTAAAAAATGTTTAAAACTCACAACACTTGTACAGATTTACTATTTTTGTATTTGAACCAGGAGGTATAGTATTTCCAGAGCAAATTTTAAAAAAATTTTGTAGTTTCTTTATATTCTGTAGCTATAAGAGAATCGTTTTAAATTGTGTATTAATTTGATTAAAACTATCGCAGATATAGTCATTTTAATGGAATTACGTTGTACTCATCCTTGAGCTTTGATCACATTTTAAGTTTCTCTTCACTTTTGGGCAGTCATAAATGGGTTTGATGTTAGAAAGTAGAGCATTACGAAGATCTCAGCTAAATATATTTTAAATATCTCAGATGATGTTCCTTCATATATGGGTAAAAACGTGAATAATGCCCCATCGCCAAGCGCGGGCAGCGAAAACTGACGGATTGCTCATTTTTCAACTCGCTCGCAATGCGTTGAATAAAATTCAGAAAAATAAACCAACACATTTTTTCGATAGGTTTTTACCTCAGCTTTCTACTGATGAGGTTAAAAATGCAAAAATATGCCTCCATAACCTTAAAAAATGGACTTGAAGATAAAACACGCTGTTAATTCCAGAGTTAAACTCCGATCGACTTTCTGGATAGCTAGATCGAAAGATTTTGCGATTTTACACAAGAAATGATTCTAAAAAAAGGGACTTTTTCGATTTTCTCGAGCGGTGAAGAGGGAAAGAGCGCGTGGTCGGCAGTTTTCGAGCGCCACGGCCTGTTTTTTTGCTATACTATACGTTTCTTTACCTTTCACGCATTAAGCTTTCGCCGTGGAAATGAACAAATACATGGTTTTTGTGTATTTTTGCCTCGTCTTCCCGATGGTGGAATAAGTTTTTGAAAAATTTGCTTTGTTTTGCGAATAAAACGAAAATAATGAAATTATTAATCAAAAAAGTTAATTTACGTGTTCAAAAATCCAATTTTCCAAAAACTAATTGCACCATTAGGAAGATGAGAAAAAAAAACGCAAAAAACACGTATTTGTTTATTTTTATGGCGAAAGCCTAACGTGTGATAGATAAAGAAACGTAAAGTGTTCCGCAAAAACAGGCCGCGGCGCAGCCGACCGCACGCTCTTTACCTCTTCACCGCTCGAGAAAATCGAAAAAGTCCCTTTTTTCAGAGTTATTATTTCTGTAAAACCGCGAGATCTTTCGATCTAGCTAGTTAGAAAGTCTATCACAGTAGAACTCTAGAAGTTACAACGTGTTTTATCTTCAAGTCCATTTATTGAGGTTATAGAGATATATTTTTGCATTTTCGACCTTACCAGTAAAAAGCTGAGGTAAAAACCTATTAAAATCAATTGTTGGTTTATTTTTCTGAATTTTATTTAACCCTTTGCGAGTGAGTTGAATACTGAGCAATCCGACCACTTTCGCTGCCTGCTCGTAGCGTGTGGAAATTACTCATTTTTGTGCATCAAAATCTTTAAACGCGTTTTAATAGCTGGGCCGAAAAGTGTCCCCATGGCACGAGTATCGTACAAAATTTTATAGTACTGTGCAAAGCGCTTTGTCTCTGGGTAATGTAAGTCTGGCTCGTAAAGAGTTCTTTACACTCATGATGATTATAAGGGTTTGCTTCCATCATGGTGTGCATCATGGGAAAACCGCTGCCAATGTATTGGCAAGTAGCTTCCTCATATTTTTTTTTAACTTTGAAATATTAGTATTGTCTTTTCGCATTCTTTTATAATTGTAATCTAATTTTTTTCCAATATTATTGAAGTTATATTTTTAACTAATATTATAACCGAAAAGTAAACGCAGGGAAAATTCGAAAGTAACGCATTTATGCAATTTTTCATACGTATAGTTAATTTTGGCCTGTTAAGTGTATATGCAGCATTGCGCATAACAAATTATAGAATTGTTCAGAGACTCGAACACTCGACCTTTCAGCAGTTATCGAATAAACATTTTGTATAGCACTCTAACCCAAAAATCGCAACTTTGCCGCTTCTTTTAGGCTCTTGTGCTATAAAATATTGTCAATTTGTCACTGCGTCTTCACGAAACGAAAGCGTCTCTCAGCTTTATCGGGTTTCTCAAATAAACAATGCAAAAAAAAAAATTTTTCTTCTTAAATAGAAAAAAAACGTTACGTTTATCGATAAATGAATTTTTCTGGCTTCGTCCTTATGTCATAACGAAAAAAATAAGCCCTCCCCCGTCACGATACGTGCTACCGTTATCGAGGAATCACTCTATACAGCCATACAGCCGCATACACCCACATACATGC